CTTGCTGGTCCTTTGGTAGGATGATGGTTTTACTGTTAATTGAATTGAAAAAAAAAGAAAATATTTGTATTTTACCTGTAGAATGTAATTTAGGACTTTCATTTCTTTCAGAAGTGCTTCTGTTATTACTAGTGCACTGATTGCAGTGATTCATTACATGATGAATCATATTTTTGGTGTCGAAAGCATCTAACAGCATATTTATCAGTATTGATACAGTGCTCAGTATGACATTATCAATGTGTTGTGGCTGTAATTAAGTGCTCAGAATCAGATTTCAGAGGTCTCTTTTTGAGAATTTAGCAAGTTGAAGTATGGGAGAGAGAGAGAAATTTGAATATAGTGTTATTTTACCAGTTATAGCTTATTAATGCACACATATTTATATGGTGCTTCCTTAAAAGGTCCAGGTATTTTGTGAACTATAGTCATAAACTGGATTTTGGGTGGAGGACAGTAGCCAGTTAACATGGAATAAAAGTATTTTTRTGCTTGACTGCTTCTCTTCTTTTATCAATCCTACAGAGTTTTAAAATTTTTTTGTCATGTCCTTGTTGTGAGGATAGCAGTAAGAAATAGATAAGCTCATGCCTCTGCCAAAACAAAGGAAAATGTAAACCTTTTCGTACATCTGAATGTTTAGGGCCTGTGGGCTTCAGGTGGTTATTKTATAGAAAGAAGGATAAGGAAAGGCAAGCTCAACAATGCTGTAATGCAGGGGTTAGTGATTGCAGAGAAGAAGGTTGGTTCTGTGACCATCAACTTCTGTAACCAACATTCACTTGAAGTAGTTGCAAATATCATTCCCTTTCCCCTCCCTGTGGGCTCTTCTGGTGCTGCAGTTTCTGCCCCCTTGCAGCCTGTTCCTACCAGCTGCAGAATGGTGCTGTCCCTCTCGTTTGCTGGAAGTGGAGCCCTGGTGAGGAAACACTGCGTGGCACACACTCAGGCTGTTCTGGGGTAGCTCTGGCACGTAGGAGAGCCTTCTCAGGACAGTGAACCAGTGTCTCATTGCTTTGAGCATTGCTACACTGGAGTCAGAGGTTTCTGGTCAACGAATTAACTGAAAACCTTGAAATCGTGGGGAGGGATAATGATTTTTTTTTTCTTTGCTTCCAATGAACTTGGTATCAAAAGTACCTGCTACCTTTATCAGTTTCTCTGCTCTAAGAATATTCTCCAGGACCCTTAAAATGTGCTTGGGTAAAGTACTGACTTGAAATGCGGTGTATCCCAAGAGGAAGGACTGCAGACTTTTTGATCTAAGCCAGGCAAGTAATAAAGAGTAGACTAAAGACTTAAAAACTAGAATGAAATTTGTATTTCTAAAGATTTATTTGAGAGCAAGTTTTAAGTAAAAGAAAGAAAAATAGAAGTGTGGTTATAGGTGTGTCCAGATGGGAATAATACTTAGTAGGGAGTTTGAAGGTGACAGTGACCAGGAGCTGGCAGAGGAAATGGGACAGTAGGAGATTGGATGTTGTGTTGGTTTGGAACACTTGCWTAGCCTTGGACTTGTCTTGGATTCTCTTTTTCCCGTGTTTTGGAGCTTCAACCCAGCCTTCCTTGTAGAGAACTTTGACTGGGGGACATGGGGTAGTTGCTTAACATTGATAAATTATTGTCAAAAAAGGGATAAATTCATCAGCAAAATCAAGGAAAGGGTTGATTAAAACTAAGTGTAGTAATCATGTTTGATTTGGCCTTGACTTTTAAAGAAAAGGACACTTTTAAATGCCAGGCTGGCTAGATTAGTGTATTGTAGGAATCCAGTGAAACCACCCTCCCTGCTGAGGAAGCAGGGAGACATGAAACTGAGAGGTCTGGAGTCRTACTAAAAGGTCTGTCCCCAAGGACCTGTAACTTCTACTTCTAATATCTCAGCTGGTTCATTGTAATTTGGCTAATTCATGTGTTTGGATTTAYAAACACTTGAAAAGAAGGGATCCAAAACTGCTTGGTTCTCAAATGCAGACTGGGCTGACACAAGTACATCCGTCCCCAAGTTGGGAGATGGCATTTGGAGACTGGGATGTGGGATTAGAGAAAAGAAGAATTCTTCTTGGTTGATGTAATAGATGATCTTAACAACTGATTTAAATTTCATTACACCTAATAACAGTAACATCAGGGCTTATGATTTCAGTCCAAAGAAAATCACCCTAGCAATGGTGGGATAAGAGTTTTGGGAACTATTGATRTGTAACAAACAATACTCTCCCCTCTGAGTGCAAGTGCTGTTGAACAGCTGTGTGCAGGTTCAGCTTTCCAGCAGAGAAAGCTGGAAAGTACTGGGGCAGTCTTAAGGCATCAGCTCACATGTGATGCTGACTAAATGCAGATGGCTTAAGTGGTTCCTGTCTTCAGTTTTATGCCTTGTCTGTCTCTTAAAGGCAGCTGCTGCTGCTGCAGCACTGGTTGAGTGATAAATGAAATATGTGTGTTTACATTTACGAGCCAAACTGTAAAAATGGAGCAGAGTCACGTAAGCCAGCACTTGTAGCTGCTAAAATTCTTGTGGCTGGGAAGTATGAGTGGAGTGTTCCTTGTTTGCTGGATGAAGTTGAGGAGTGGTTAATATTAAAAATGACTGTCATTCAAAATGGCAGAGAAGAARTCCAAAGTTTGTTTTATTTGGGCTGTTAGACTGTTAAATTGGATCAGGTAGAAAAAAGGATTCCAGCAATTGCAAGAGTATGGTTTAGTGTGGCTAGAAATGTCAAGGATTCTCAATACTATTSTTCTTTGCCTGCTTGTGAAAACCTTCACCTTAGGCACAGGTGCCTAAGATGACAATTTTGGGACACTAAAATTATTTGGAGCGAGRGTTAGATTTTTAGAGCAGCAGTGCTTGTCATTGTAGAGGGGAGGAAGAAGAATCAGAAGAACTAGAAGAAGTTAAAGTTATAAACTACTTGGGAAAACTTCTGGATTAGCTCTGGGTCTAGACTGACATCTTGACACCGATTTGGCAAAYGCTTGCAAAAGCTGCTGTAGTTTGATTTTGCAATTCTGCAGARGTCTGGACGAGAACATGTTAGTCCTGTTGCCACACATAGAAAAGAGCCTTGTTGGAAGGCTGATAGCAACCACTAGGGAACAACTTCTCCATGATATTAGGAACTTGTCCTCATTTTGTTCTCATATGTTGCAGAAATGCAGATATTAATGGTTCATTCACAACTGGATGAAGTCATGGGGACAGTTGGTGCAGGCTGGGAGGAATGAGCAGCTGAAGCCTTCTCAGAAACTGGATTTTCATACTGGGGTATTAGGTAATTGGAAAATCATCTGGCAGTATTGGTCTTGAGAAAGTGTAGCATCTCTRTGTCAACCCCAGGGAAGGGTCTTCTGAGCCCAGAGGAATTTGGCATTCTGAGTGAAACACTCCTCTGGAGGCATGAAAAGCTGATGGGTCACAGATTCAGGATTCAGTTGATTACAGCAGATATCGGAGGCCTTTCCAGTTCTTGATGATGACCATATGGCTGCTGTGCTCTTTGCTAAAGTCTTGGCTGAWGGAAAGAAGGGTTTCTACGGATATAATCAGAACAGCAGGAGCCATCATCAGCGTTTCAGTTCCAGGCACTGAAGTGTTGCAAAAGACAATTGTGAGAGTTAAGCTGTTGTGCAGCGTGAGAGAGTGTTCATCAGCATCTATGTGGGTCCTTGCATCAGCCAGAAAGCAGCTGTGAACTGTTGCATGGGCAAGTTCAAGGTTTACTCACTAAAATATCAAGACTCTTTGACTGTAGCATAGTTTGCAGTTAATGAACCTTGCAGCTGATGGGTGAGATGGGATTCCAGGAAAGGGAGTGCACCCAGAAYGTCTGTTCCTCTCTGTGACTTACCCACCAACAGTTGATGGGAAACATCAGGTAGCTGACCACTTCTTATCTTGGACCTTAAATTAGACTCCACCCGATCTGTTCAACAGAGCTTCTAGCAAGGCACAGAGACAATTCCAGAGTCCCACAATGTAGAATAGATGGAGGGAAAGTGTCCTTCTGTATTAATTATTAATTAATTAACTGGATCTCTAGGAATTGAGATAATTTTGGATGATCAGTCTAAAAGCAAACTGTCTGCTTCAACTTCATCCACAAGGTGGAAATCCCACAAGGATTTCCAGCCCACGAGGTTGGAAAGCAAAAGACTGCTAAAYGTAGTGGGTTTGGTAGTTTTATTTTTGTGCATTGACTCTTCAGAAAATTTACATCGTGAGAAAGAGAGTTCCTCTTGGTAAAAAAAGTCAGTTTATAATTTTTACAGACAAAAAAAAAATTCTTTCATTGCCTGAAAAAAACCCCATGACTTCTTGAGCAATGGATCACTGAATCCTGGTTCCTGGTGGTATTCTCTCTCTTTCTCTCTCTCCCCCTCCCTCTCCTACCCCTCCTGCACCATTTTTATGCCAGTTTCCTAATTACATAAAATATTYGATTTGTAATGTGATGAGGAAAAATTCAGGACCGGTCTTTTGGAGAGAGTAAGGGAAGGTTAATAGTATTAACCAGAAGCAACAAACTCAAGTCCCTTAATTCCATTTCATAGTCTTTCTTTACCCTACAGGGACTAATGTATGTTATTGATGTTGCTAGTAATCTTACCTAATTTTGCATTGCTGTGTCTTCTCCAAGAAAAAGAAAACCACCTTAACAACACACTTAGCTCTGAGAATATGAATAACGGAAATTCTGAAAAATAAATAGGAACAAAGTCAAAGTTGCAGGGTCATAGTAATCCTGAAAATTTTATACAAAGATATATTCTCTTTTCCCACTTCTTTTCCTATTTATACTGAGTTAGTTTGCTTGTAGTTAGTTTCTTGATATGCTCAGGTTGCCAGAAGACCAAAGCTTAGGCAACTCTGTACAGCAGCTTGTTTTTGTTACTGTGCTGGCTTAGGATTTGGGCTGGTATTTAAAAAAAACAAAAAACCTAAAAAAAAGTAAAATATTTGCTGATGTGTTTCCTGCCTCCCACTCACTGTGTTTCAGGAAATCTTTGGAAGAACTGGACATGGATAAAGTAACAGCAGCCATGGTACTCACCAGTTTATCCACCAGCCCTTTGGTCCGCAGCCCTCCTGTCCGACCCAACGGTAAGCCTTTGGAGCCAGGGCCTGCGGGATGGGGTGCCAGGGCCCTTTATGTCGGGACTTGTTTCCAGGAGTTCTGGCATGGTGGAGAACAAGTGGTGAGTGGCTGTCTTCTGGTRTGCTGGGAATCATACTGAGCTTTGCTCCAACCTATTCAAAGTCTTTGGTGCAGTACTGGCAGAAATGAAACGTTTTCTTTAACTGTAGAGCAGCTCTGGTTTATGAAACGGGAGATGATCATTCCATAAATGGGCTATGAGCACTGTGAAAAGACCACAYTGAAACACTTAATTTTTCAAAGAGCTTGTTTGTGTTTGCACATATACAGACCTAGAACTGTGGAATGGTTCAGATCGGGAAAGACCTCTAAGATGACTAAATCCAGCCACTAACCTGACACCATCACCATGTTCACCTCTAAACCATGTYCTGAGTGTATCCAGGAAACATGGTAACAATTGTTCTTGGCCTCCACTCAATGGAAATGAGATCAGATTTTACCCAAACCCACAATAAGGCAAAGCATTGGCAGGTCACAGCCTTTGGCTGAGAGGCCGTGCAGCAGCAATCTGCACAGTGACAGGTCTGCATCTGCTGATGTAGGATTAGACCCTCAATTCCTGTGCTCTTTGTGACTCTCAGAYGGTCCTCCATCAAATCCATAATCCYTTTAAAGACTACTTCATTCATGATTTAGCAGAAAACACACAAATGAAAATAACTACAGTAACTTTCAGGTAATAAAGAGATGGGTAATGAAATATAATTGATCTGTATAAGGTTGTCTGGAGTTACAATAAATTTTAAAGAGTGTTTTATTTAAGGAATAATTTTAATTAAGTCACTCTTGTTAGGGTACCTTCAGCATTGTTTGTATGACTGGCTTTTCTTACTCACTTGTAACTACTAAAAAACACTAAATGCCCTCTTACTGTCAGTAACTGGAAGACTGAGGAATACTTGCTTTTCTTTATGGGAACAGACAAGACATGATCCACTAAATGATGTTCTGAAAAGAATTCATAGCAAATGTCCCATCTTTAAACATTTTTGAACAAACACTGTGGTTCTACCATTTATTTTCAGAAAATGTAAGTTTTATCCATTTAGTTGGAATTCTGGCCAGGAACACCCATGGCCCTTTTTTGTGTGCTTYCCAGTGTTGAAAGCCAGAAATTTTTATGGGGTATCACTGCTCTGAGGAGCTCTGGGAAACCTCAGRCAGTGGCATCCCTGGTGGTTGTCATGCCTCAGGACAGGATGTTGCCAGCGCCTGGGGAAGGCCAGCAGAAGGGTAAAAGCATACCTGCTTTCCAAAGCTGTTCAGCTCCCAGACAAAAGCACAGCTGGAGATGGATCTGTGCTGATGTGGSAGGCAGGGATTTGGTGTAGCCAAGGCACACACGTGCCCCCTGCTGCATCTCTGTCCCGGGGAGCTGCTTTGCTGTGGGTAAAGCAGTATCTGCCACCATCAACAGTCTGATCAGGTGAGGAGCAGCAGTGAGTATTAGCTGCAGTTGTTGGTTGGAAAGATCTTCCAAACAAGCCCTTTTGAATTGATTATAGGTAAATGGTGGCTGTTTAACTGTCTTTGATATTTCTTAGTATAGTCTAAGTGATCTTAGTATAGTCTAAGTGATCGAAGTGATCTTAGTATAGTCTAAGTGAAATATCTAAGTGATATTTCTTCACCCAGCTTGTCTGTTGTTTCCCAAAATCTGGGAAGATGGGTCTGAAAAAGAAATTCACATGTTTTCAGTAGTCACAGACAAGATTTCTAAGCAGGTTGTGGGCATCTTCTCCCTGAATATCTTAGTTTTGCCTGCRTCAAGGCTTACTAAAGACTTAAATAAAAGTGTAAAGACTTAATAATTTAAAGCTTATTTGGTGTTGCAAGGCTAGGCTCTGATCCTAGTAATATGAGCAAGAAACRTATTAGTTTTTAGTTCCTTCTATGTGCTTTTCCAAAAAAGGGCAGTAAGYAAAAATATGATTAAAGGAACATTTGTTAAAACAAATGGAATTTTGCCTAGAAGTAAAAAACAAACAGCATTAGCATTAATATTGAAGTCAGATCTGTGCTGAAATTTCTGGGGATCACCCATGTAAACTGGATCAGAGTTTGGCCCTTGTTTCCCTGCAGCTSAATAATATTTGGTCTGGTTCTCTTTCACGCAACTCCAGCAATGTGAAAAGAGCCCCAAAATAAGAGTAAGTTGCATTTATTTATATATTAAACTTCTTTACATTGACAGATTTGTTAGTATGAATGAGAACCAGTGTTTGTTTTTTTTTCCTGTTGTCAGCYTCATTCAGTCTTTTCCATATTACTTTAAAAATGTTTTTTATTTACATCTCTTTCTCAGCAAGGTGGGGAGAAGCTGTAAATGCTGAGAATACAAAGTAACACCATACTGTGTCRGAAAGTAGTAGTTGAAAGAGTGTTCCTTCGTTTTTCTGAAGATGTGGAAATTTTAAACTATTCGAAGGTCACARGTTGATACCAGATGTATTTTTTGGCTTTGGTACAAGACTGAAGTACCAAATATTTAAAAGAAACAAAACGCACCTTCATTACAATCACATGGAGGTTGTATTCATGAAACAAAACATGGTGTTTTCATATATTAACTTAGGAGAAACCAGAAATGTGTATGTCCTTTTCCAAAAAGGAGCTGGGGTTGGAGGGGGAGGATCAATTCCATTTATACTGTGTGGCCCTGATCAGTAAATCAATACTGATGCCTACTAAAGGGGCACTGCTTTGTGTTTTTTTAAGCAGCTGATGTTTATCAGTAGGGATTTTGTCCAAAACCAACTGAATTAGGAGAAAAACCCCAAAAACTCATTCGTTTGGAAATAAGCTTTTGATAACTCCTTTCTTGCCAATATCATTAGTTAAATTTATCTGTATGAGATTGAGAAGGAACAAAGGAGTGACTTCTGCGTATCTCTTAAAGGCCTTGCTGGCTTAAAAAGACTTGTCTCTCACTTAAATATTGTTTCATGAGCAGATAAGATACTTGCTTGCCAGCTCCAAAGTCAGATGTTGCACAATACTCAGGCACCTACGGTGTCACTGGAAAAAGCTTCCAATGCCTGAGTTAGGGAGAAGCCACACCTAAACCGGCCCTGCGCATTTGCCCAAGCCCTGTGAGAACCTGAGGGCTCTGGCAGAGCAGCCTGTGCCTGCACCCTGGATGTGCTTGGGCCATGCCTTCACTGAGCTGATGACCTACATACTCCTCTACTGCCAGAAGCCTTTCAGGGACTGGGAAGAGTGACAGGCCGGCATCTAATGCCTGGCCCAAGCTGTGCCTCAGACTGCACAGGCAGTGCTCTTACTCCCACCCATGGTGCTGCAGAGTGGAAGCTGTTCCAGTGTCTCCTTAGCATGCAATGTCAGGGAAACTGCTGCACTGAGGAGGCAGTTCCTCCAACAAGTAGATGTGGAGGTGATCCAGTGTCTGTGTGTTGCACTTACGAAACCAKATGCCTTTAAACCTGTATGAGGGGKAAATGGGGTATCCCAAGGGATATATAACACCTCATGTAGAGATTCAGATTAGGCAGAGGCGTGTATACTGAGAGATTAAAACAGAGTGTAACTGGTTTTCTTTGGTGTTTTGGTACTGGGAAGATGATCATGCTTAGTGTTCTGGGGCTCAGAGCGTATGTTCCCTTTCCAGGGCAATTTCCTGTTGGCTCTGTGGTGGCTTGGAGCTTGCTCTGATGGTGCACCATAGTCATGTRTTCCTGTTGAAAGCTGAGGATGTATTTAGAATCATAGAATAGTTTGGGTTTGCAGAGACCTTTAAAGGTCATTTTAAATGTTTTCCTTAAATCATGCATGCAATATCTGACTGTTTATTGCTGTTTATGCTCCAGAACATGTTGTTTTTTTCAAATTCAACATTTCTTTTTTAAAAAAGTACTTTGCTGCTTTTGTTTGTTTGTTTGTTTTAAATAAAATAGAAATCAAGTGTGGAATATGTAATTTGTGTGCGGTGGGATAGACATGGCTGTCCTTTCTACATCCAATGCTTTCACATTCCTTTACTGAATGTACAGCTAATTACCAACATGGCATCTAAACCTTAGAAAAAAGAGCTCTCCTTAGCCCTATCACAGTGATACTGTTGTAATGATGGCTGTTGTTGTTCTTRACAGAATCCCTGAACGGATCTTGGAAAGAAGGAGGATTTGTGCCTTCTAGTACCAGCAGTAGTGGGTACTGGAGCTGGAATGCTCCCAGTGACCAGTCCAACCCATCCACCCCATCTCCACCTCTGTCAGCTGATAGCTTCAAAGCTTTTCGGACACCTTCCCAGCCAGATGATGGTATTGATGAAGGTGAAACAAGCAACCTTCTCTTCGATGAACCCATTCCTAGGAAAAGGAAGGTTAGCCTCATGTTAAATTCCATACCCACGGGCAGATAGGATGTTGGTAGGCTTATTTTGTTGTGAGAAAGGAGCAGGTCACTTGAATAGCTCTGCTTGTGTCTCCTTGCTTGGCATCCGGTTAATGTAGGGACTTTGCCTAGTCACTGTCTCGTTCAACCTGGTCACCTCCTGCACACACATGCTGCCATCAGCACCACATATTTCCTGCCAGATGGTGAGGTGCTACAGAGCCTCCTGCTCAGAAAGCACTAGAGTGATTTCCAGAAGGTGTTGCCTCTGGCCATTGAAGGGATTTCTGTCCTACTTTGACAAATTCTCTGTGTGCAAGATGCAACAGGCAGCCTTTACATGTCATCGCAAAAACTGAATATGGCCTTAATACTCCTTGTTCCCTGAAAGTGCTGTTTRTCTGACAGCATGTCAGATACCTTAATACTGTGAAGCTTTCTCTGCACAAACATATGGAATGAAAAAAGGAGAGAGAGAGCTCAAACCTGATGGCTTTTGAKATAGTATTAGCATYAGCCAAATTTATCCTCAGTTGGAGTGCAAAAGCAGGCTAAATAAAACATGACATAAAAAAAAAGGTCCAAAACTCACCCCAAAAAAGCRCCGTTGCTAGCCAGCAAGCTTCTCTGGAAGAAAAAGAAAACAAAGAGATGGCACTAGTCCAGGTTTCCCTCCCAACGCAACAGGACAGATTTTACATAGCAAGATGTAAAAGGGCTTTTTGTGAGAAGAAAAAACAGAGAATTTATTCCCTTAGTGAATTTGTTTCTGGCTCAGTCTGAGACAGTTAATTGCTTCATCACCAGCAGGAAGAAGTTTTAATGATTGTTTAAACCTGTTCAGATTTATYCCCTTGCTCCAGAAGCTGCTTATTTGCTGACCCATGTGGTTCTTCCCTTGTTCATGGGAAAGGGGTGTAAAATGTTTGTGCATCTTGCTAAGAAGAAAAAAAGCATTTTGGAAGACACMTTTGTTATAATAAATTAGAAGTTAGAGCTGAGTGTTAGACTAAAGAGAGAGACAATTTGGGGGGGTGTGGGACAGGAGGAGTAGGAGTACAGAAGTATCCTGGTTTGCTTTCTACTTCTCAGGTAACCATCATCTTATTAGCATCCCTCTTGCTTCTCAGCTGTGGGGAGACAGATGGGTTTGCAGCTGCCATCTTTATTGTTTTCTAAGTTGCTTTCAATTATTTCTCTTTATGTACTCACAGTAGGTCTATTACACTATCTATTCTGGTTCACAGGGATGTTGTTTTGTATGGCAAATGTTTTTAGATAAACAGTAACATTCCATGCCAAACTTGGTTTTATAAATTAATTTGCTTTCCTGTGTTTTTTTTTTTTTTATTCTGGCTCTAGCATGGTACTTGATCTGAGTACAACTTAGCACCTTTAGAAGCTGAATCAGAAATGTTCAGGTTATTTCTTCCTTGGTACTGGGAGTAAAAACCAAAGAGAAGGAGTAAACCTGTAAATAGAGTGATTTGTAACCTTACTATTTGCTTAAGTTTCCTCTAAGGTAATTATCCCTCCCCAAACCATTTATGTTCCATTATTTTCTTAAATAAAACATTAAGCCTGCATAGCTAACTTTTGGAAAGGAAATTAAAGAAAAGTAAGCATGTTCCTCATTTCTGCTAAGTGAGTTTTCGCTTGATTACATTCAAGTGCACGGGTTTTTGCAAACTCCTACCACTGACAATAAATCCAAAATCACGGTGGATCTAGGATACTGATTTTACAATAAAACTGGGGTAAAATTAAATATCTCTGGAGTTTGTAACATCTGTGTTTTCTCCAGAGTCTTCAAAATATTGAAGATTGGCCTAGTTAAAGCGTTTGGCTGTGCTCTAAATCAGTGATGACTCAGTGTGGATCAATGACRTTATATTAAAGAATATTAAAATAATATTTAAATGAGATTATACCTTTTTTTAATACTGAACATAGACAGATAACTTCTCATTCTCTTGTCCGAGTTAAGAGCCACAGCAGCTTCTGAGTGAATTAAAAGCAGCCTGTGCCAGCTCATGGTGAATATTGACATGACAGAAGCTATATTTTTCTGGCACAGTATTTTTTTTGTGTTGCAAATATCATGAGCAGAAACATTCATGAGGGCTTGCTTTAGAAAGACCTTAATTTAAGAAGATGCCTTGCATTAAGTGAGAAGTTCTCAYCAGGGTTTTTTTGAAAGAAGTGTAGGAAGTTTTTATATCAACTTCCTCCCATAGTGGAGGAACTGAAACTTAAAAATGGAGAAGTGTCACCAGTGAACTGAGAGAGGCAGAGTTTTGTCAYAAGCTGCCTCCTGCAGCTTTTCACTGTGATTCTATTGAGTTCAGTAGGGTGACACACTTGACAAGAGGCTATTATATCATTCCAAATTTGGAGTTAAAGGCTCTGAACCTTCAGAGTGTTTTGTAACTCTATCTGTTTTGGGTAGTTTGGGKTTKTTWCTACCTTYRCAGAATTACAGAATCACAGAAKTGTTTAAGTTGGAAAGGGCCTGTAAGAGTACAGCACTGCCAAGTCCAGTGCTAAACCATGTCCCCAAGCAACACATCTGCATGTGCAGGGTAGTGACTCAGGGCTGGTGACTCAGCCATTGCCCTGGGCAGCCTGTTACAATGCTCAACAGCTGTTTCATGGAAGAAATTCTTCCTAATATCCRTATAACTYCCATWCAACTAATGTTGCTTTACTCATAATTTTCAGAACTCCATGAAGGTGATGTTCAAATGCCTGTGGAAAAACTGTGGGAAGGTACTGAGCACAGCAGCAGGGATTCAGAAACACATACGGACCATTCACCTTGGGTAAGAGAGCAGCCTTTTTGGAAGTCTAAAGGATTTGTTATAGAAGAGGGGCAATTGCCATTGGCTGGTGAGATGAACTGGATTGGGTTTGGTTTTCCTGTCTCATAAGCCTTTTTTCTGAGGAAATTGCAGAATAATATATCGAGGTGAATGAGCACTTATTCCAACAATGAAGCACTTTCTTTCCTGAAATTCAGTGAACTTTGCCAGAACATCAAATAGAGCTTGAGGTCACACTGTACTTCTCTGTCAGCTGCACAACTCAGTTCCATTATGTCATATGTGCTGTCTGCACATCATATCTGGGATGGCACATTKTGGAAGGCAGGTTCAGGGTCTTGCATGAATTCTTTTCAGCTCTGTTTCACATCAGGTCAGGTGCATGTACCAGTTCTGAGTTGAATTAATGCCAAAAAAATTACTA